TTCTCCCTTTATTTGAATAAAGTAAAAGGAATCCTCTGTCTCCTTTTTGGACATAAACCTCTGGTGTTTGTGAATTAATTTTCCTAACACTTTCCTGCACAGAATTGTGAGCTGCTGTGGTAACTCTGAAGTACAGCACACGCACATCCTGTGAGTTTCTGCATGACATGTAAGTGTCAGTTCAGGCTGAAGCTGCAGGAGCTCCAGCTGCCTGTGGAATGTGACCATTTCCCTTCTCCCATGGGGCTGGGAGCAGCGATTTCAAAGCCCCCCCATGCAGAGAGCAGAACAGACTCAGGTAAATTTGGCTTCCAGGGGCAGCTGAGCTGAGCCCAGGCTCGCAGGAGTGCCTGTGGTGCCGTCAGTGCAGCTGCTGATGCTCGAGCACGGGGCAGGCAGCTCTGGGTAAAGGTGGTTTGGTACGGTGAAAGATTGGGCCTGTGCCATTCCTGTGGTGATTTGGGTCTTCTTTTCTGAGTGGAATTACTGAACTCACAAACCTGGCAGTGTCCCAAGAGCACAAGGGGGAAAAACCCCAAAACTTGATCATGTGGAGTGCTCAGAATGTTTATTGTTGAGGGGGCTGCTATTTGCTACAAAAGGAAAAGAGGATGCACACCAGAGATGTGTGCATTTCTTCCCAGCTCTGATACTGCACAAAAGGAGGTCAATATCCTAACATCTATTTTTCAGATGTAGCACTCTGTGTGCTCTTCTTACTTCAGGAATTATTTCTTCCATTTTCCTACAATCTTCACAAGTAAAAATATCAGCGAGCAATATAAGCAGGAGTGCAAGTACAAAGAGGTTGTGGATTTTGCGCGGGATTAAAATTCACATCTGTTCTGATACTTTTTTTATTCTTATTTTCTACTTATTCTACTTGTTTTCCAGTTTTAAAATGAATTATGCTCATAATTGCTTCCTGAGATTTTCAGTGGTAATAATAAAGGATGAACCTTTTTGATTAATACCTTGTAACATTTTTGACAAGGAATGCTTTTGAAATAAGCATTTTAATAAGGCTGCACTCCAATAATTTGGTTGTTCGTAGGCATGAAAGAAATGTAACCAAAACCAGCCTTTCCACCTGCACAGCCCCTGGTTCTGTGAGCCCAGCCCAGGGGAAGGAGCTGCCTCTGCTCATTGAGTGCTCCATCCTCCCTCACAGGGCTGGGGGCTGGCAAGGGAGAAGTTCCCAGCTGCATTCCCACCCACTTTCAGCCTCTCCTCCTGTGAGATTTCTGTCTTGGCTGTGCTGCTCTCTGAATGGCACAACCTTAGACCAGGTATGTGCAACCTGAAGTATCAATTTTTTTTTCATTTACCATCTGACCTGGGCCAGTTTTCATCACTGTCAGAAAACATTACATCAAGGTGTGTGCGAAACCAAATATTTTTCCCTAGCTGCAGTGAATACTTTCTCCAACAACTGTAATTATTTTAAAATGTAATATTTTCTATTTAGAATGGAAATCAAAGCCTCTGGGAAAGTAACATTGCGATGATTTGTCTTGGGTGTCTGGAAATTATATCCTGTGGCCATTAAAGAAAAAAAACAAATTCAGGTTTGAAAGCAGATATTGGTTTACTTCATTACTAAAAATGAAACAAATATTAAAAAACCAAAAAAAAACTCAAGAAAAACTCACTTCACCACAACCCTTCAAAAACCACCCAAAACCCCAGGAAGTAGCAAAAAACTTCTACAGACAGTCTGTGATTTGTACTGGTTTTGGTCCACGTGTAAGGCATCTATTTCTCATTTCTGATTCACTGTTCAGTCAGTTCACTAGAGAATACAGATATTTGTTTGCCCAGCTGCTGTATTTCCCTTTTGCAGAAATTAAGGGAGGGTGTTTTCTTTTTTAAGCATGATGATTAATACATATAAATTTTACTGCTAGGATGGTCATCTAGAGAGGATACATGTTCTTCCAGAAGTGCCATTTTTATTATTCTAATAAAAATAAAATAGAGGAATTTTTTGTAACTGGTTGTATTGTCCATCAGTGTTCTTTTTTTGCTGGTTATTTACTAAGCTGTAATTTCATTCTGATCATCTGAGATATTAAAAATTGCTGATATAAAAAGAATATTTTTACAAAAATATTTATGTTACAAAGAGTAAACATTCCCCATATTTCAGATGCTGTAAATCAGGAGGTGTTTTGAAGGTAAAAATACAGGGTAGATTAAAAGACAACATGAAGGGCCTGTTTATAGATTACACATTCAAACACTTCCAATATTGAGAATTGTTGAGATTGATGATTTTGCTTTGCACTGGGAGATCAGCAATTGGAGCCCCAGGGCACACGAGGTGATGAGTGTAAACTGTTTATAAAAATGGTGTCACAAAACTGACCAAGCTGAAACTGGCAAGCCAGGAGCAGGATGAAGATGGAGCAAGGAACCAATCCCAGGAATGAGATAACTTCAGAAGGAGTTCAGCCCCGTGACCAAAACCATCAATGAGACACGCGGGGCCCAGCACCAAGAGTTGGATTATTGTATTTGGGCATGGGATGGTGGCACAGACACAATCTGGGCTGCAATCTGCTGCAGGGGCTCCTCTGTGGGGACACCCAGCTCTGTCTGCTCTGCACACTGCGGAAAGGAACTTGTCACTCACTGAGCTGGAAACTCATCTGCAAAAGGAGCCCAGGGCAGGAGAATTGTTGGAGGGGTTTCTGCTTTGTTCCCCCGTGGTTTGGCGGCAGCAGCCCCAGCTCCCGCAGGGCGCTGCATTTGGGCAGAGCCCTCACTCTGCTGGGGGATCCCACCGGGGTCAGGTCCTTGGGAGTACAAAGGGAACTGCTCTGAAGGAAATGGGAAAGGACAGGAAAGAATGCGAATGATGGAGGAATAAGCTGCCATGTGATTTTATACTCACACTATCTGCATTAGTGCTTTTGAGGGGTCATCCTCTTGTGGCATGAAATTCTAAAGATTTGGGGTTTTTTTGCTGAGCTTAAATCCTACTATCTTAACCTTTGGTGACAAGAAACAAAAATACTGTCCATGGCAGTAGCTCTTGGTCAGTTTGGAGACTTTGTTCTCAGCACTGTTAGAATAATTAGAGTTGTGCTACAATCAGACCTGATGACAATTGCTTTGTTCACATCATAGCCCCCAATATTGCCTTGTCATTCCTACTGAAATTGAAAGAAGCAATCAGCAGCATTTTGGTTTCTGTTTAGTGAAGAGTTTCCTAGGCCTAGAAACAATTTCACACACTGAAACCATCTATGAAAAAATCCTCAGAATTTCTGTGCTGGCTCCTGATGCAGTGTGCAACGTGGAGCACACAAACACGGGAAAAGGAAAACGAACACTCAGAGCTGGGCAGCCAAAGGCATCCCTGAGCTGCTGCTTCAATCGGGCAGCAGGGCTGTCCCAGGGCAGCTCTGCTCTGAACTGGGCTTTTCACAGGGCTGATTATCTACAGAATGGCCACTGACAAACCCTTCTGGTGGCCATCTCCGACTGTGACAACAGGAGCACTTCTTTGTGCTTTTCTGGTGCTCCAGGAAAGCTTGGAAAAGCCTAGAGTGGAATATACAATGGTTTATTAATCTTTTAGGGTATTAGACATACACAGGAACTCAGAATAAGCAACCTGGGCTTCAGAGTTTGCACTAAAGCCCTTGGAGAGATTGCAAAACCCCATTTCAAGCTGATAAAGAAGAGTTTGGAGAATGCCTCTTCCCACTGGATATCTGAAATCCAGTCTCAGAAGTCCCCATAACCCTTCAAACTGAAATTAGCATTTCTTAGGTAATAGGTGACAGATTTTTGAGAGACCTGGTGCCTGTCTCATTAACTGTCCTACCAAAGAATAGGCAAGTCAGTACTAGAAAGGTCACTTTTGTCGTTCTGTGGTCCCTGTATGAATTACGTTGAGAAATTCACAATATGTACTTGGGATTCAGGATTATTGAGATCCAGGTAGGAAGTGATAATGGCTTTGATCTGCATCCATGGTGGCATGTCATTCCCCAGGGATGAGAGGGAGGGTCTGACAAAGCCTGCGCTTTGAGCCTCATTAGCGGCTGCGTGATGAGACCTGGGAGCTGACAAAGTCAGCCCAGAGTGTCGAGTTTCTTGGTATTTCGTACTTTTAGAACAATTAGTGACAGATTAATGCAGAAAAGGACAGATAAGTTTAAAAAAAAAGGTCTTCCGGTGTTTTCTTCCTTGAAAGGAGAACCCAGAGCAGACGTGGGGAGACGACAGGCAAGTTACTGTAAAAAAAAAAAAAAAGAAAAAAAAATGAAGAGAAAGATTATAAAGATAAATGGTGAAGATAAAGGAGTTTAGAAAATGCTTCTGAGTTATATGGATCAATATCGGGCTATTACAAGAGCTTACCACAGCATAAATTCCTTTGAAGTGCAGCGCGCTGTACTCATCTCTCTCGTCTGTGGCAAAAATAACCGCAAACCCCAAAAACGGCAGAGGCTGAGCACCACCGTGTGGCCGATCGACAACAGCAGTGCTGGGCATGGATGAGTATCCATGGATAATTTCGATTCCTTCGCGGCTAGAAAAAAACAGTAAGTTCCCTATCCTTCAATCTACAACAGACATAACATGGAAACTTGCAACAGTAAGGTGATATGAAAATTGTGAAAACGATAAGTTAAGAAAATAACCATAAAACACAAAACAAAAACCCCAAAAGAAAACACAAAAAATAAGAAAAAAACAACAACAAAATGAAAAATAAAGGAAAAATAAAAAAACCCCCAGCAACGATTTAAAACCGCTTTTACAGACATATTGCACCTGTGGGAAAATAACAGTAAATCCGAGAGAAATATCTTATCAAAACAACCCTCAAGTAGTATGTCAAACCCAATAACCTAAAAAAAAAAAACAATTAAAAAAAAAAAAAACAAAAAACCCAAACCCCTGAACACCAAGATTCCACACTAAGAGAAAAAAAGTGTCCCTTACTTAGTGGTACAGCTCTTTTGTTGAAAAAGTGGGTGGCTCTTAAAAGAGCCTTTGGGTTAAGCAGGTTTTAGGCAAGCATTCACTTGGAGCTGGTGTACTTGGTGACGGCCTTGGTGCCCTCGGACACGGCGTGCTTGGCCAGCTCGCCGGGCAGCAGCAGGCGCACGGCCGTCTGGATCTCCCGCGAGGTGATGGTGGAGCGCTTGTTGTAGTGCGCCAGGCGCGAGGCCTCGCCCGCGATGCGCTCGAAGATGTCGTTGACGAAGGAGTTCATGATGCCCATGGCCTTGGATGAGATGCCCGTGTCGGGGTGCACCTGCTTCAGCACCTTGTACACGTAGATGGAGTAGCTCTCCTTGCGGCTCTTCTTGCGCTTCTTGTCGCCCTTCTTCTGCGTCTTGGTCACCGCCTTCTTGGAGCCCTTCTTGGGCGCGGGGGCGGACTTGGCCGGCTCGGGCATTTCGGCGACAACAGCGTCTCTTCGTGCACCAACGGATCGGCTGCAGAACAAACCCCGGGGCGAAGTGAGGAGCACGGCTGCTTGCCATGAATTTATACCGCGTCTATGCAAATGAGCGGCTCCTAACCTGCAGACTATCATTGGTCAGACTACGAAATGATGTCAGCCCTCTCCCGTATTCGCGTCTGATTGGTCAGATTTGGATCCTCCTTTTCATTGGCTGCCTGCACAAGACCTACTTCTCAGCCTATCAGCGCAGGGACGAGGCAGTAAAGCGAGCGCGGAGCGCAGCAGCGCCGACTGCTTCTGATCGTGTGCCAGGGGAGCGAGCGAGGAGCGCAGTAAGATGTCGGGTCGCGGGAAGCAGGGCGGCAAGGCGCGGGCCAAGGCCAAGTCGCGCTCGTCGCGGGCCGGGCTGCAGTTCCCCGTGGGCCGCGTGCACCGGCTGCTGCGCAAGGGCAACTACGCGGAGCGCGTGGGCGCGGGCGCGCCGGTGTACCTGGCGGCCGTGCTGGAGTACCTGACGGCCGAGATCCTGGAGCTGGCGGGCAACGCGGCCCGCGACAACAAGAAGACGCGCATCATCCCCCGCCACCTGCAGCTCGCCATCCGCAACGACGAGGAGCTCAACAAGCTGCTGGGCAAGGTGACGATCGCGCAGGGCGGCGTGCTGCCCAACATCCAGGCCGTGCTGCTGCCCAAGAAGACCGACAGCCACAAGGCCAAAGCCAAGTAAATCTCATCTGACTAACAACCCAAAGGCTCTTTTCAGAGCCACCCACAAGATCCTAAGAGAGCTGAGTTATCGCAACAACAATGAATGTCGTTTTGCATTAACTACTCAATTCTTATTTCAACTTATTTTTTATTTTTGGGTGGATAAAGTAGCAACGTTTTCCATGTTTACGATAACAAAACAAAGTCTTGCCAAAACGTCCCCCCCTCCGTGCAAGTTCTTCCTGGTACGGGCTATTTTCCGTTTAGTTCTTACGTCTGAGAACATACGGACACTATTCGTTGAGAGTCCCGGTCCCACCTCCCTTTTCCACCTCTTAAAGCGGCTGATGCAGTTCCAGAGATAGGAGGCGGAATCGTCTTCGGGGAAGGGAGGGGGAAGGGCAGCGGGCCGGGATTTCCGCTGGCCAATCCTTGGGCAGGGCGGGCTTTTTCAATACTTAAAGCTTTCTTTCTCATCAGGAACAAAAGGATTGGCCGAGATCAGGGCTATTTTTGTGTCCGTAGAGAAACCCTCCCCTCCTCCCCCGCAAACAAACAAAGGCATTTACGGAGATACTTAAAAAGGAATAATAGATTAGACATGGCTCAGTAGTAGCGTGCCTGGCAATTGCATTATTTTGTTACAAAATATATCTTTAAAAAAACGTACATCTGATTTTTTATCAAATCATTATAAAACATTGCTTCTTGGTAGTCAAAGTAATCACTTGAAGAAAAAACAGAAGCCTACACTTCCCTAAAGTCGCCGCGCTCTACCGCGTTCTTAACTATTTCTTTCGGTAATCCCTAGGAAAAGAAAATACACAGGACACAATTGACCTCTTGACGACTTACGAATTGCTGGACCCCTGCTACAGGTTACGGACGACCTCGGTGCATCAGCTCCTTTAGGGAAAGCGTGGGTGGCTCTTAAAAGAGCCGTTGGATAACAAAATAAGCAGAACAAAACTCTCCTGGTACAATTTACTTCTTTTTGGGCGCCGCCTTCTTCGCCTTGGCCGCTTTGGGTTTGGCTGCCTTGGGCTTGGCCGCTTTGGGCTTCACGGCCTTTGCCTTGGCCGGGCTCTTGGCCGCCTTCTTGGGGCGCCCGGCCTTGGCGGCTTTCTTGGGGCTCTTCGCTGCTTTCTTGGCCGCTGCGGCCGCCGGCTTCTTGGCCTTCTTGGGGCTCTTCTTCACCGCCGCCGCTTTCTTGGGCTTCTTGGCGGCGCTGGCGGGCTTCTTGGCCGCCGGCTTCTTGGGCTTGGCCGCAGGTGCCCTCTTCTTCGGGGCTTTCTCCTTCACTTCCCCAGGTTTCTTGTTGAGGCGGAAGGAGCCGGAGGCGCCGGTGCCCTTGGTCTGCACCAGGGTGCCCTTGCTGACGAGGCTCTTGAGCCCCAGCTTGATGCGGCTGTTGTTCTTCTCCACATCGTAGCCGCCGGCGGCCAGCGCCTTCTTGAGCGCGGCGAGCGAGAGCCCCTTGCGCTCCTTGGAGGCGGACACGGCCTTGGTGATCAGCTCGGTGACGCTGGGCCCCGCGGGCTTGCGGGCCTTGGAGCCGCTCGCCGCCTTCTTCGGCTTCTTGGCGGCGGCCTTGGCGGCGGGCGCGGGCGCATCGGGGGCGGCGCTGGGAGCGGTCTCGGCCATGGCGGCGGCTGCCTCGGCGGAGCGGGCGAACACAATTGGGCTGGCCCGGGTCAGATGCTCGCGTTTTTAGAGCGGAGCCGCGCCGTGATTGGTGCGCTGCAGAGCCCGCCCCGCCGCGCGGCCGGGGAGCCCTTCGGTGTGCTCGATTTGTGTTTCTTTGGACTAACAAAAGTGTGTTTTCCTCGGAATTTCTGCCACCAAATCGGCCGGTTTCCCCGGTGAGGGGGGGGAAGAGCAGGTACTTGCGTTCGGGAGAGTTTCCTGCGGCAAACTCGCGGTTTGAGTTAAAGGAGAGGCGATAAATCCCGTGTGCTGCTGCCGGAGAGACCTCTGAAGGGAGAAACTTTTGTTTTTCCTTGCAAATTAAAAATTTCCTTTTGATATAAATGTTACGGCAACGACTCAGTCTTATTCTTTAGAGGGTTTTCTTGGGCTCAAAGTTGAAAGCTTACGATTTGAAGCTATTTTGACAGTATAAGTTGATTTTGAACAAGAGGAAGTAACACAAACTCCTTTTTCAGCTCTGAATATGGATTAAGAACCGGTTCCTTTGACCATGTGTTTTACCTACTAAAACGCTAAAGTCTAGTGAAATAGTGTCTCGTACAGCCACCTATTGCACTTTTTATAGAAACATAAGGAATTTCTTGTTATCTGGAGACTGATGACCAGAGAGTTGGTTTATTTTGTCTTACTGGGATTTCAGTACAAGGGAGGCAAAGTTACTCTGCTACCCTACGTGGGGTGTTTTCTTTTTGTTTGTTTTCCATACGAATTTTTCTACCAAATATTGAGTAGATCAATCTATTTGCCTGTCGTGTTCCATATTATTTTGAAGTATATAGTAATTTAAAACCTCTTGTTACAGAACTGCAGCTTTGTAAAAGAAAGCAATGTCCTGCACTTCTGTTGTTTATGGAAATTATCTTTGTCTCTGGTAATTTAAGACTTGCAAGGAGTATCATTGCCGTTTAGTAAGCATGCTATTCATTCCCAAACAATATTATCTTGTTTTATATTTTCTCTAAAAGTAGTAGAATTGTAAACCTTATTGCTGTTTGGATTTTGAATGTGTCTCACAGAATATGGCTACACAAAGGTTTAGCTAAAGCCTCTGAATGCTGAATCCCCTTCTCACTCTAAATAAAGCCCCCCTAATTATTACTTGTGCATTTTACAGCGATCACTGAAATAAGGAAATACTTTTATGACAGAAACTAGAGCAATTTGTGATAACCTGAGTTTTAACAACGGGAGAGGTAGGCCATAGGTCATTCCTGAAGAACACGAAGGAGTCAACCCACACTGGTATCTGGTGGAAGATGGTGTAATATGCTGAGCAGAACAGAGCTCTGGCTTAATATTTCATTAATCTGTAACTGACTGGGGAAAAAGTGTTTTAAAACACTTTTTAAAATTATCCATTGTCTTTTGTAGTTGTTGAAGAATCACAAAGACTGCACTGCAGCCAGGCCTTTGGTATTACCTGATATAACATAGAATGTGAATACAGTATTTAAGTGCATATTAGCAACCAGAAATTCAGAGTGTGTGAGTAGATAGTTTTAGGAAAATGTAATTCTCTTTCTGTGTCATGGTTTCATTTACGATGGCTGTTTTATAAATCCTAAAATGTGTATAAGATGAGAGATTTAGCTTGCTGTAAAATAGTGTTTCAGGGAATGTGAAATTATGAATAAATGCAATGAAGGGGAAAATTGTGATCTCCACCCCATAATGATAAAATACCATAAAAAACGTTGCAGTAAAAATGCACCTGAGCTCTGTAATGCTTTAAGGGGAAATTAACTGAGAGGAGACCTAATCAAATTGTGATTTTCAAGGTCTTATTTGGCAATACTATGTAACATGAAGTAAGGATTAAATGGAGTGGATGTGAGTATTGCAGAGTTACCTTCAGAAACTGCAAATGAAGGGAAAATGTTTTGAAGCCTTTATCCTGTATATGTAAAGCTATGAATTAATATTTCCATTGATTTGGCTGCATAATGTAATAAGGTAGCAATTGCTGGGAAGATCTGAAATTTAGCAGTTGCCTAGAGACTTCATTGCATATAGGCAGAGGAACAGCATAGGCCATGAGTGACATGTCAGCAAAATGAAAAATTCCTTTTTGCTTATTCTTGGTGCTTTGAACACATTAGTTTCAGTAATCTTCACTGAAGGAAATGTAAATATTCCAGCTGTCATTTGTGTCTTCACAGAGTCTTCATTCACATTTGCTGGTGGCAAAATTGAGGTGCCTAAAATGGTCACTATCCCAGTTTTCTGCCTGGCTTTTCTCCCAGCAGTTGCTACCCTTTCCTCATTTCCAAAGAAGTCTACTAAGTATATACATGTAAGCTTCTGGTCTTCAGCAAGTTTTTAGTAATTTAAACTGAAGTAACTTCAGAGATTTCATTAAAAAAAAAAAAAAAAAAAAAGAAGCTATTTTCTAAATGGTGTCGAAGCAAAGAGATAAACCTACTTCACTGATTCAGAAATGCTGCTTGGAGCACATATTCTTCTTTATGTGAAAGAAATACATACAGGAACAATATTTTGGAAAGTTAAGGTGTATTTGCCAATTTTAACAAGAGCTGCTCTGCAGTTAGAATAGATAGTTAAAAAAGAATACACAGATGTATTCAGGAAGAGAAAAAATGTAGTGAAAGATTACCTGAAAGGCAGAAGTGG